ATTTTGCTTGGGTTTCTCTCCCTACTGAGATAATGAAAATAGAAACAGCTCATATAAAAGGTAGAAAGATGGAAACAATAACATAAGCAATTTTTTTTCCTTTTAACTCATCCAATATAGAGTTCAATAACGTTCCAGGAAAAGGTAACGATTTTAGAAGCTACCTGCTTCAAAGGCTAAGAGGTACTAGTGTATGTTTTAAAGTGAAAGACCAAACTGGAGTTCTGGTTAGTTCCGGTTCTCAGGTTCCTTTTAACTATTGAACACATCACCTCTGAATTTAAGTACAGGATTTGTTCTTTAACGGAAGAAGCGGATGTCAAAAACTTTGAAGAGATTATTCACTTTCAGGCACAAAGCGCAGAATACACAAACCACACAATAAATTTAAACCACTAAAGACAAAGACACTCCATGGTATTTTATTTGCTAATGAAGACCCAGAAATGGAGTAAAAGGAATAAAGGAAGAAATAAAAAATTCACCAGTTATTTCAGAACGCCTTGCTGTGGAGACACCTCTTCAGAACTTGTGAGCAGGTAAAAATTAAGTTTACTGTGATTGCTGTGACTTCTGCATGCATGTACGGACATACATGTTAATTTGTAGGTGAACGATTTGGCACTGGTGTTACGCCGGAACTGGAAGTTCTGTGCAGAGCAATGTTACCAGAGACAGGCAAAAGACTTTCCTCAGAGTAAATCACACACTGATAAAAACATATCTGTTTTACAAATTGCAAATTTTAAATCCAGACAGAATGTAAAGGAATCATGATTGCTTTTGATAGTCCAAGTTACAATAAGAAAAATCTTTTGCCAAATCTACTGTGTTGGCTGGAAGACTACTTAGTGCACTATCCTATTTTTGCAGCCAGAAAATATAAAAACCTATCTACAAAAAACCTTATCTACTTATCTTACCAAACCCTGGGTTACCATCCATCAGAGACCTGCGTAGGGTCACCCCCCAAAAGCCCTATTTAAGCCAGGCAACTTCTGAATTTCTGGGAATGTAGAGCTCATCTAGACTTCTGAATGAAAATCTTACAACTCTCCCAAGCACGCATTTCTACTGGACTTTGTGTGTGTGACTGAAAGGAACGAGAAGGGACTGACAATACTGAAGTGCCTTCGTAGCCTCCTAACCCATGACTTCATACTGGAAATAATTAAGGCATCTTGTGTTTACTAATGATCTAGTCAAAACATTATCAGGGATACCTTAAGAACATACCCAAAGATTCACAGCCACCACTAGAATCATTGATAATATTAATTTCTCAACAGAAATAAAGGGCTATCAAGCTTTTACTGCATTCTTTTTTTCTCTAGATGTGACTGCCATTAATAAAAGCCATCAGTGTGTACGTTCTTATAGAAATGGGGACTGTGTACGTAAGTCCTGGCATTAACTTCACTGCAACTGTTTAGACCTGACTGCGTTTTGTTATAAACGCCATTATTGCAAATGCCTTTCAGGGTAGCAGATTATTGACAACAGATCGCTATACTATGGACTGTTTCCCATGTCTTGGTATTTCAACAAAAACATTCTAACATCAGTTCGATTGCTACCAGCATACATTAGGAAGTGCACCAAACTGTACTTGTTATCATCATCAAGATGATGTACAGAAATTAACACAGGCAAAAACTACCAGCTCAGAATTAGGAGTACACCACCTTTACTTTGAGAGAAGAGACAGACAGTAATTAGGCTGGAGGGAAGAGCAAGCAGGTAACTGACTATGACAATGCCATTTCCCCCATCTTCAAGTTCTTCCAAGATAATTCACTTGAAGATTAATTACTTAACGATGATTGCCCAAGAAACTGAAAATTTTAGTCCTATTCACTACTTCACAATATTAAAAAGTAGTCTGATAAATCTGGACGTACTTTAAATAGAATGTCAAAACTCCACCTACTATGCCCTGGAAATCCACGAGAGTAGAAACAGCAAACTTACAATTTAGTGAAAAGCGGCTAAATGAAAATGAAGAACAAAGCAGGCTGTCCTGTTTATTTTCATTTTGACAAATTAAAAGGCAGGTGAAAACAGTACGTAAGCGTTCCTCATACAGCCCACATATTTGTGGCTTTAACTACTGAAAAAATTGTGCAGCCTACTGTAGACAGCTGAAAGAACTCCAGCAAAACCTTAAGAATTAGTCCTATGTAATTTATGACCTCTATTTTTTTCTGCAATCCTCTTTGGAAGGTAAGACACAAATTGTTCCCTCAGACCAGTTTCAAATAAAGAGAACCATGTCATCAAATAACAGAAATAAATTATATTAGTTCATTGCAGTGTAAACAAAAGCATCCGTAACAAGTCTGCTGATATAGAAAGGACAAATACTGTAAAGCATATCCTAATAGCTTTAAGGCTCCTTATAGAGTTGCTTTAAAAGCATTCCTTAGCATTAAAGTCCTCAATCATAGAATCACAGAACAGTTTGGGTTGGAAGGGACGTTAAAGACCATCTAGTTCCAACCCCCCTGCCATGAGCAGGGACACCTTCCACTAGACCAGGTTGCTCAAAGCCTCATCCAGCCTGGCCTTGGACATTTCCAGGGATGGGACATCCACAGCTTTTCTGGGCAACCTGTTCCAGTGCCTCACCACCCTCTCTGGGACGAATTTCTTCCTGATACCTAATCTAAACCTCCCCACTTTCAATTTAAAGTCTGTGTTTCAAAATACATTTCTTCATTTGCTACTGAAAAAATCAGTAGGAATAATGATCTATTGATCTTGCATCCTTGGGAGTGATAATTTTTTTTTTTAAATGAACACATCTGACTGTAAATTGATAAGATTCACTTGATTTTTATAATTCAGTGTGATAAGCTGAAGAATACCTTCAAACACAACATGAAGCTTTGGATCTAATCTACAGTGTAGAATCCCTTCAACTTCACATCACCAATATTATCCAGAATAGCTGAAGCATGGCTTGTGAAAGTAGGAAGAGAAAAAAAACATTCCTTAGCATGGCATTTCATCACTTTCTGTGTATAATGAAATACATTTTTAATGAAGTGCCAGCAGAATTTCAATTTACAGATCACTAACTTTGGAATGGCATTGGCATGAGTATTTTTACATGTTTTGAAGGCTGTACTAAGCAAAGTTTTACAGGTCACACTCCTAAATATGTAAAGGTAGAATGCACGTGGATAAGTTCTGTAAAGCCATAAGCTCTGAACCCCAAATAACAAAATGAAAGCTTGTACTTTCCACCAAGAAAGCTACCTAAGTGTTACTCCACACAGCTCTTTCAAATACATCTTCTGATCATCTTAAACAATAGTACGAGGGGACAGAAACCAAAACAAACTTGCATGTCTGCAGAAACATCCTCCCACCCCCAACACTCAGCGTTTTGGGTATTATTTTTATTTTATTGTGGGGGATTTTTTTTGGTGGTGTTTGTTTTTTTGGCTTGGTTTTACTGGTGATGCAGAGATGCAAAGTTTTAAAAATATTTCCAACGTGCATAAAAGATGAAATGTATTGTAGGTACATCATGTAAGCAGAAGTAAAAATATTCTTCACAGAGCTGTTTTTCAAACTAGAAAGTGTATATTGAGATGTATAAGATGTAAGAAATTAGCATAATTCCATTTGAGATACAGTCACAGTCCCAGTGTTCAAGTATGCAAGGTAAACAGAAGGAAGCATAATGCAAGTTCTGTTCTTTATGGCCTAAATTAAATGCTTTACTCCTCCTACTTTAGGCAAAATGTTAAAACAAAGTAGAAGAATTGGAGGGGTTTTTATGATCTTGACAACTCTGCATGGAGGCAATCCCCATTTCCTCCACACAGTTTAAATGAGTAGTTGGTACAAACCTGGAGGAGGGTATAGGCTGTGTTTAGTGCAGAATGATTTCTCTTGTAGAGCATCAAGCAAAACAGTCCCAAATCTGTTTGGGCCCTTCCAGAATAACTGGTGTAAATGTTATAGCCTAGAAATCTGTTTGCCAGCTCCTGCAAAGAACACATCTACCATAATGTCTACACACAGATTCTGTTAGAATATCATCACTGCAAGAATGCTGGAGCCCAATACATTTTTAGAGTACCAGTTTTTAAGAGTAAAACAAGAAGACAGCTTAAGAGTCAGGAGAAACAGGGACAGTGCTTCTTCAGCAAATTTAAAATGCTTTCAACTTGGAACTGCATCATGTAAAAAGAAAAATCCTTAGTTCAGGAAAGCAGTGAACAAGCTCACACACTTACAACTGAAATTCCATGGTTTTATTGCATACCTTCTTGCATTGTATCTGCACGCCTATAACCCCCACCTCACGGCAGTCTAACATACTCTTCTATTAAATTATGTACCTTTCATATCTTCTGCAAGAGAGAACAGCTGTCAGAAGCGATTAATGTCCTCATAAGATTGCAACAAGAGGAGAAAGCTGAATAAGGCCAGTGGAAAGGCACCGGAAGTAAGTGTACAGAGATGGTGGGCAGAAAACCATCAAACTGAAGGTAGGACTATTTGCACGTGCTATGCGTTATGTGATCAAAATTTACTACTTCTCTCCACCTAAGTGCTCTCATCTTCTTAAGGACTAAGAAAAAGTAACTAGTTTGCCACTGAAGACTTCAGAATAGAAGGCACTCCCATGAAGAGAATGGCATCCTTTAAGATTAAGATTTGGAGAAAGATAAATGTATTCCTGATCCAGAAACAACTGTTTCTACCAACATTAGCTGCAGAAAAAGTGTCATTATATCCACTTCCATTGTTCAGAGCTTAAGGGGATAGTAACTAGAGTAACACCCTCATGAACTGCAGCCTACCTGAATATTATAAGGCACCTATAGCAGCAGCCAAACAAAAACTTGTTTGGAGGATATAAGACAGGGATGTAATACAAAAATGTAGTCAAGCTGATACTTCAGTATTGTGAACACCTAGTTAAAAAAAAAAAGGTTTTCCCCCTCTTGAAATACCCCAATCAGTACTTTTGGTACACATACCTCGAAGAATTCTCTCCTCATGGCAACGTAGAAAGTCCCAGATTCTAACAGTGCCGTCGTCAGAGCATGTAGCAAATTTATTATCCGTGGGTGAGAAACTGTTACATGAAGACACACAGCAGGGGAAAGAAGTCAGCATTTAACAGATTATCTATGCTTCTCAGACAGGGCAAAATTATACTGTAATGTGTTATACACTGAAGGATGCATTTGAACATAGGACCTTCTAAGTGAATACAGTGCCTGTCAAATGACACTTCATCACAAGACATGAATTTAGCATAGGTTTACTATTGCATTGCAGTCCCTTGTCAAATGAGGAAAAAAATCCAGAATTCCTTCTTAGCACCGTCCTATCTATAACTGCACACACTAGTGCCTCCTCTGCAGGATGAGAAGCAACATCAATATTATTTGGTAACTGTCACCCTGGATTTTCATGTTTGGTAACACCATAAGAAAGTGACACTGTGAAGAAGAACAGGAGAACAGTTCTTAGCAAAACCACTCCTCTTCAGCCACAGGTGCTTTGTAGCAGAGAAGCAAAAATAAGGGAAAGCTGGTCACAGGAAAATGTTAGTTGGATTAACTGTTAGGAAAAAAAGTTATACAAGACATGTGTACCACTTATCGTAAAAGTAATTTGGAAAAAATCCCTCTTATTACACCCCATCAACATCATGAAAAGAATCCTACAAACATAGAAGCAGCTTCCAGATTGAGCAGTCAATATTGCTTGATGAAAGTCACTGGAAAGCAAGGAGTTACTTAGCCACGTGATTAGGGCCAGCACATCTCCAGCAACTGACAGGCACTCACTCCCTTTTTGGTACAGTGAAAGACCATGAGGGAACCCTTGTGAAATCCTAGATCTTTATGATCAGGGAAGGGCTTAATATAGTAGAGAAATTCAGTGTATGGCCATGATAGTCAGACAGTAACTGAATCCAGTGTAAGCACTTCTCATAACCAAACTCTGACAGAAAATGCTGCACTCTATCAAAGAAAATGGTGACTTTAGTGGAAAGTGGTTTTGTGGCAGTAAACCTTTATCGCCAAGGGCCAGCACCTGAACCCGAAGAGCACTGCTTTAGCTTCATTTTGGATCTGCAGCTTCTCTTCAGGCTTACTTTAAAAACATTTCCATATCTGACTAAAGATTACGTGCAGGTTTGCTTTAGAAACATCCTTCATTTACATCTTACTGAGAATATCGCTTTAGAGTCCATTTTTTTTTTATATAGACATTTGCACAACTGAGGCATCAACACTGAACCAAGAGAATATCCTACAGTCTTCTTTTCAATGGCTTGCTTACAGTTTCAAGCTTGTAGAACCCATTCCGTATTAACATTAGACTTCTGTATGTGGCAGTCTGCGTGGGTATTTAGTATTACTGGAAGTCTTGGCTTCACCAAGCCAAGCAGTTCTTCACTTTATTTAGTGTTTTATTATTTTGTGAGAACTATGCAGGTGTTTTATTTCTGAAGGCTTTATATTTTATTCAGTTGGATTATTAAAGACTGAATTCTTTATTTGGAATGAAATTGTCGTCTTACACAGTGCGTATAAAAAGGAATAACTGATACACATCGTCACCATATAAAAGTGAAAAGAATACCAGTGCAAAATGCGGCAGACAAATACATCTCTAACATATTGCAGAGGCGGATACTGGGACAACACCAATTCAGAAAGGTGCCAGCAAAACGGTGAGAGTGTGGAAACAAAAGAAAATATTGTGTTTATGTGGTGCAGGAAGTTTCCCAGAATCTGACAGAACCCATGCATTTCTGCACCCAGAATACACTTAGAGAACAGTCTAACCATGGCAATAGGTACTACAGAAAATGGTATATTGTGTATAAACCTGGCCTCTCTAATCGCCTCCTTATGTGCCTGGAACATCTTGACGTTGTTCATGTTGGACTGCCAGTATTTCACATATCCCCCGTGGTCTGCTGTCAGCATCCACATATCATTGTGTGACCAAGTCATAGCCCTTACAGGGCTGTCGTGAGCCTGTAAATTCAGAAACAAAACTTCTAGCAAACATGTACAAATACTATCTGACCCATACAAATAGAAAAGGTAGCAAAAGTTCCTACTTAACAGCTGCAACAAAGAAACAAAATCAATGATGATTTAGTCAAAGATGTTATTGTGGGGAAAAAAAAAACCCTTACCCTTGTATACAATGGTCTTCTATATAATAAGAGTATTTGCATTTTGTTTCCAAAGCGTTTATTATTACAAATACTCATAGTACGTTCTTGAGAACGGTTAGTATAGCATATGGAGATGGGATGAAAAGCATGAAATGAATTGCCTATAGCCACTGTCTGACAAGGGGGTCAGAGCAGAATAAGAGACCTCTAAGACTCCCATTACTGCATTTAGACCACGAGACCCGTGATGAGCAGCGTGAAGGTGCGTTCCTAAAAACATGCTCCAACACCTGAAGGAAAACCACAGAAATCTTGAGATGAATTTACCTGCAATATCGTTTCAAAATTGAAAGTCAGTCCATTCCATAAAGTGAACTCTCCACTAGATGCACCAGTGACCAAGCGTCTCCCCTCAGGAGTCCACTGCAAAAGAAAAATTTACCTAGACTGTGCAAACATCCAAATATTTCTTTGTAACCCTCCAAAACACAACCTTCTTCCAGGCAATTTGCAAAACTGGAATTTACTAAATGACTTTCTAGATGATGCAAGATAGAAAAAAAATGCAGAACTGTGCCAGAGGACTTTTGTAACAACAGGACAAAGCCCACTGTAAAAGCAATGCAAAAGTCTAGTCGTAAAGAAGCAGCAACTTATTGGCACCAGTACATTTCTAGAACACAATTTCCATAGTAAAAAATACTGCTGACATCACTGAAAAGACATTAAAAGGTGCTACAAGTCAAACTGCACAGACCAAATTCCCTTCTTTACCGTGAATCAAGATATATTAGCCCCTCCAAAGGTGGGAAACATAGGAAGGGGACCTCAAACCCAGAGGAAGAATTATTTTGTACTCAGACCTCACCACTTAATTTTCTAAAACCCTCCACAGAAGACTGGACACAGAAGTAGTCCATGCATTCTGTATTCTAGTTTTATTTAGAAATGCTTGAACTGTTATGTTCTTTCTTTCTTAATAATATCACTCTAATTTAAATTAAGACAATACAACTAAGTAAATCCAACACAATACTCACCCTGACAACAAACACTGGGCATTTTACTTTATTAGTAGATGTCCGAACAAATTTTGTAGTTACAGCATTCATAGGGTTGTTCAGCATTCCTATAGGAGGAACCAACTATGAGAGAAGAAACAAAAAGATTTAGTGATGACATTTCTAACCAGAAACCACAAGAAAAGCGTACATTCTGAACACCCATTTCTGGAAAAGCAAGTTTTATAATTTGCAGGGGTATTATCAGAAGTCAAGTCAGTAGAACTGTTAAAAAGTCTCCAGGATTTACCAACTCAAACATCCAGAACCAGCATCTTCAAGACCAGCTGTGAAAGCTCAGTGCATTACAAGGGTTCTTATACCCAAACATTAAAAGCCTATCCCATTTCAGGTTCTCTTTGTGGACACAGATTCCAACCAAACAAGATAATAGAGAATGAAGACACCCTTCATATATTTGAGGCCTCTTGTGGACAAGAAAGTTAGCCTCAGCTGACAGGCAGAACCCTTCTGATCTTCTGGACAAATTTTATCCACAGAACTTCATCAGGGAATAGGAAGACTTTACTTACGTCATTGTAATATCCCGCATCAGGCTGGATTGCTCGCATATCACGCTGGTCTCTCTGCCATATTCTATTCTGGAAAGAAGAAAACAACTAGTTCGTATCACCACTATAAACAACAGAAAGTAAGGAACACAATAACCGCTTGTTTTGGAAGTTCCATAGTACTCCAAGGATAGGATTTTTAGAATAAACTCAGTCCAAATACTTTGGTCTCAGAAAATCTGTAGAATTTCTACGGCATAACAAAAGATTCAGTAATGTTTAAAGTCTTGATTTCATCAGACTACATCAGCTCATTTAAAATGTCAGTTTAGCAATATCAAAGGAGCAGTCCCATGTAATAAGCCACATGATTGTGGCAAAGATGATTCGTACTTTGCTGCCCAAGGTTAACGGGTACTCTGCAAGAAGCACGCTCAGTCATTTCAAAAGCTTTATGCTTTTGAAGGACAAGCATCTACACCATTAGGAGCTGTGTCGACGAACTCTAAATGAAATCCCACACAGTGACACAAGCTTGAAAGGATGCTTCTGCAGCTGAAGTATGAAGATAATGTGTTCAAATGGATAAAACTTAGAAGACCAAGGGACAGAAATGTCTTCAATTATTTAAATTGTGAGCTGTCAAACACAACCTTTGCAAAAACACTTTAAGTGATTTAAGAATGAAATTATTTCATCTTTGTGCTGTAGACTTCACCAATTTGGATGTGTGTACATATTAAAAACTAAAATTCTAGGTAAAATATTTCCAGCATACACCACTGTAATTTGCTAAAATTTCTTAAGCCAAGGGCAAGTTATATATAAACTCTTTTTTGCACTTTTTTAGAATTGCAAATTAAATCAGTAGTATTGAAGCCAGAACTGAAATGGAATTCTGGTATATCCTAATTCTGTGTAGGCATCCAAAACATACAGATTTTTTTTTCCCCTCCATTTTGTTTTAGAAGCACCAGTCTGAAGGTACTTATTTCTGCTACAGTAAAAAAGGTCCTGAACTGCTACGTTTTTGTGGGTTGTTTTTGTTTGTGGTTTTTGTTTGGTTTTTGTTTAAGAATTGGTCCACTACTAATAGAATCTTTTTCAAGTTTGGGCATTCCTAAAATACATGTTTTGAATGTTTGGTGTTTAAACATATCTTGGAAGATAATTGAAATTTCTTATTAAGACAATCTTCCAATTGTTAACACTACAAATATTATCATGCACTGGCCACAGCAGATTGAATTCATCATGGCTTTGCAGCACTGCTTTTGAAATTCCAACAATTCCTGTATTGGCATATTTGATTCTGTTTCTTCTGAGCTAGTAAAAAGTACCTTGTACAGTGTATCTTGATCATAAAATTCTATTTTTTAACAAACGAATGCCACCTCATCAGCAAAGTTAAATAAGCATTTCTACAGGAATATTTCTTCAACAAAACTTCATTTAAGTTGTTCTGTATCTATTAAATGTACAGAAAGGGACTTTCAGAGACCACAGGGCAAGTTACAGTGCTATTTAGCAAACCAATAAGAAAACATTTTATTGTGCCCTGGTTTTGTAGAGGAAGGAGTAATAGTTTATTTCCCATTTTGGGAAATTTTAATTTCAAAACAAAACCAAGAACAATTACATTATTAATAACAACCTTGTACATTCACTGAAAATTCTGAACATCACACAAGACACTCAATTGCACTCCAAGTTGGAATTCCAAGACAGATGTAAAAGTTGGTGTTTACAATGTACATATGCAGTTTTATTACCACGGACCAAACATCTTACCATACATACCATACCAAATTTACAAGCATTTGTCACTTAGTTTGAATATACAGCAGTATTCCAGACTGATCTATGAACACTGAAAAGCACAATCCTAACTTTCAGGAAGGAAAATTCTTTCAAACAAAACCAGAAAATTAACTAACCTCCAAATATTTAATTACAGAGGGATTGTAGTCTATGGTCTTTCGGTTCACAGCTTTTCTCATCCGCTTTCCATCAAAAGTAAGCTGTTGCATTGCTTGCTGCTGTGCAAAATCAGGTCTTTTGTAGAACAACTGCCGAGGCGCCTGGTGCTGGAACCTCGGCATATGGAAAAATCGTGGCGGGGAGCCAATTTCTGTGGCCATGGCTATCTTGTTTCTGGAAGGCTGCAAAAAGTGAAACACCAGGTTAGTACATAATAACAACAAAAATCCCACATTAGTATCTCCCCTGACATAAGTTTTTAAGGATGAATAACAACTTCAGAAAGCACTGTTTATTGGGAAGAAATATCTGCAGGTTCTTCTGAACAACTATTATTCTTCTGTGCCACATAACACTGACATTGAGGTGCTTTGTTCTCCATCAAGAGGAAATCTGTATTGAAACCAATCACTATAAAGCTTGCATTGCCATCCCTAAACTAGAACTATCCTGAACTCCTCTTTTGAAAAAAGAATTTAAACCAAAATAAACTAGCACTGTCAAAGGAATGCAAAAGGGCTGAGAAACTCTCCTTTGCATGAAGGCAAAAGTGTTTACACAGAGTTAAAGTGCATAATAAAGAATGGGAAAAAAATAGCAGATTTTTTAAAAAGCTGAAATAATCTGTCTGTAAATTCATGAATGTACTTTCCTGCTTAGATGAAATATTCATATTCTCAATGTAAAAGAGTTGGAAAGCTGTTTCAATTGCTAGTCTTAACATTTTCTTGCCTTTTTTGATCCAAATAATTGAAAAAGGTTGTTTGTTTTTGGTTTTTTGGTTTTGCCTTTTTTTTTTCTAAACAGCAAAATAAAGCTAATATAGAAGTGCTAGACATAAGAGGGTTTAAAAGTAGTACATAGTTTGATCTTTTCTAAGAGGTTCTTTAGAACTACACGGAGCAGGTTGTCCTTTAAATATCCGTTCATTGGCACAGGGCAAGGTTTTGCAAACTTAAGAGTCACACAGACTTCTTTCCACTACTAACTGGAAGTGTGTCAGGCCAGCTACAGAACAAGCCCCCTGTGACACATGGCTCTTCGTTACACCAAGAGCTCTAACATACAAGGGGGAAAACCAAACTAAAGCCGTTACAACTATTCTCCATTCAAGACAAACAAGTCCATAAAATAGCGTATTTTCTTAAAAGATGTAAGGAAATCTAAGATCTTTGGCAGAAGCAGTATCTTTTATTAGACCAACAACTGTATCTGGAAAGAGGGACCAGCTTTCAAGTAAACAAACCTTCATCTTGTAGCCGAAATGCTCATTTGCCTGAAAGCTGCCCAATACCAGGTGGTCTAATAAGACACCATGTCTACCTCCAAATACTGCCACATCCGTAACATCACTGTCACAGCACAATTACTACAATAATAAGATCACCTTAAACAAGAAAAAGGTATCAAAACTTTCTCATGCAGGACATATGTGCCAAGTATCCCTAACACTACCTCAGATTCTCTTACAATCTCATCAGAAGGCAGCTAACTGTTATACAGAAAGTTTCAGATGTTAAATCTCAAAGGTCAAATTAAAAGGATAGTTGTGAGTTCGTATCAAAAAAGAGAAAGCAGATGCTTCAAACTAACTAGGCATGCTGGCATTAAACGTTCAAGTCTATTAATAGTTTAATATAGTTTAATATAGTTTTAAAGCTTTTTCATTACTCGGGTGGGGCGGGGGGGGGGAGGGGCAGGACACCACCACTGGAGAAAATTTTCAGTGCCAATCTCTTTCAGGTCTAAAGATATACGCTCCCATAACAACCAGTGCTTTAAACCAGAGGGAAAAAAATTTTTTTCAAAGCTACACATCTGTACTCTCTAATAGGCAATACAGAAACAAATTGTAAGAATCAAGACCAGGAATGCAGCCAGATATATATGCTGGGGCTTCCAAAAACACTTCGTTCATTGTTTGTAAAAAAACAATACATAAAGAATCCCTTTTTAGAGAAACACTTCAAAGCAGCAAGTTAATTCACTCTTTATTCTCATCTTTCCGAACACAGAATGTCCCAAAGAAATTGTTTCAACTACAAGCATACAGAGAGCATTAGCTATGATATGGGTCAATTTAGTGGACAAACCGTAAACTATCACAAGCAGTGATAAATAAAGCTTAGACTAGCATAAACAACACTCACTTAACATGCAGTCACCATCAGGAAAACACTATAGTTTAAAAGGTGATCAAAGGCGTAAGCATGTTAGTTACACCTCTTTGTGCCCACAGACCCTTCCAAGTTCATGATTGTGACAAGACAGTATGTGACAGCACAACTACAGCATGACAAATGAAACGTTAGGACAAGGAAGGGTTTACGTTCTGTTTATGTTCTAAACTGTTCTCCAGCTTTTGAGATACACATCACACCAAGTGAAGTTTCCAAACAAAGAAGCTTCAGAAATTAAGGGTGTTTTTGGTACAGAATCAGTTACCAGATGAAACTGTAACATTTACTTCCAGTCAGACAAATATACCCGTTTAACACCGAAGTTATTGGTATTCAACTTTGTCTTTTGCTGGGACAAACGAACGCCTCAACAGGCTCTGCTTTAGAGCTTTAGTATCAGTTAACAGAAGTGCCTGAATTCAGAACATCTGTAACTAAAGCTCCTGCTGTATTGGGAGAGTAGAAACATGCAAATTAATATTAGAGGACAATGCGTAAACCACAGTAGTAATATCCAAATTCCTATTTTAAGCAAAGTACCAAACTTTGGTTTTATTTTAGAGTCTATCAAAATAAGTTTAAATTAAATACTTTTTTTTCCTTAATGCACAGAGCCAACAGTGGGATTTTTTCCCAACACCCAACCATAGAACAGCTCTTATTTTGTTTTTAGATAGTAATGCTACCAATTAATTGCTATTCTCTTCTGGTTCATTACACTTTTATCATAATTTGAACTGTAAACCGAATTTCTGTATGCCATTCTCTCATGCATCCTTACAATTTGCAGAAACATGACTTTTCATAGAGCTGACTGTCAGTTTCCCCCTTTCTGTCCCCACAAATATATCTTTGAAGCTGACTACCTTTCACACATTTGGGGAGTAAATGTATCTGAGGATATACAGAGACTGTATAATGAATATGCTGAGCAAAGATAAGGCCATCCAGAAACACTGAAACATAAGTAACTGGGTCCTCCTTTCAGCTAAGATTATGAAAGAAAACGCAATGTGATTTGGGAATAAATGAAGGCACATCTGACATGAAACTGAAGACAGGAATAGGACCAGTGGACAAAAAAAACCCCAAGTCAGAAGAAATACAGTAAGAGCAGGAGTAACTATACAACCAAATGCACCAACTGAGGAGCAAGGTCAGTCAAGAGAGTGAATAAGAAACCTGACAAATAGACACAGGTTAAAAAAAAGTTAAGAATAATTTAGTTGAGAGAATTGGGCACAAAAAAAAATGCACAACAGAACTCAAGGAGCTTGTGATGGGACCCAAGACTACCATCGCTGTTCCTTAACTGTCAACAAATAGACTTGAAACAGAGCAAGCCTCCTACTGTAATTCACTCCTACTGGTGCCATAAGGATGGCACCTTACTGATGCTATGGAATCAGACGGACATGCCTACAGAACAGTTAAAAAGAGGATGACCTTATACCCAGGGCAGCATGGTGTCACAAAATAGAGAGATTGTGGGGGCTTTGTTTGCTTTTTAGAACAAGGAAAGAGTCACATACAGTATTAGCCCACTACAGAAAACTGTCACCACTTAGTTCAGGTACTGAAACACAGCTACAAAGGTAACACCAGCATTTCACTCATTAACACTGTTACTTCATCCTATTTGGGGATGGCTGTTTCTTTCACATGAAAATGAGACTCTCAACAAATTTTCAGAGTTTACAGATTTGGTCTTTGCTGCCCAAAAATCATGCAACCAAAGCAATGCACACACAACTTCACTAAATCAAAATAAAACAAATTAGGCTACTCAAGCCAAAATGAACACACCAAAGCATCCTTCTACACTGGTTTAATCAGGTAAAACTTGGACAGTGTCATAGCTCATATTAAATCTGTCACTTCTTACAGATAGCTCAATGCTTTATTTTTGGAGTAAACCGTATAAAATTTGTCAAGATTATACTTTTTTAAAGATCATCATTAATGAAGTGCAATAAAAGGCACTAAACTGTGCTTGCCTATGTAATACTTTTTTCACTAAAGTGAAAGCAATTTGGGTACAGTACAGTGAGTAATAACCTGAATACGTCAAAATAAACGTTTCCAAGTGCTAGAACAGGAGGCTATTCACCCAGGGAGCGACAGTTACTTTTTACTTCGCAAACCACATGCTGCCCACTACAACAGAACACACTGCAGCTTAAGACATACCCTTGAAATGGCTAAACTAGCAAATGAGTGCTAAAAGGCTCCCGAGTACTGCTTTAAATGTGTATTAGACAGTCAAACAAAGCCCACCTAGGCTTTAAAGCAAGGACTTCTACAGTGTAACAGAACCAGTGAAAATTAAGAGTAATTATTTGCATTGCAATAGCACATAGGAGTTCAAAACATGGTTAAAAAAAAAAACTCTAAAGAACCACCTCAGCTTTCTGAGGCAGAGATACAAGATAAGAACACCAAAAAGAGTTAGCACAGCCAGTTTATTGTTCCATACATCAGTAGCAAACACCAGTTTTCTTTAATTAGACACCTTTACAGCTACTATAGATACTGCTCAATTTCCTTTTATTAACGTTACTCTAAACTAAACTATAAATAGCCTATCTTAATTTGTACATTATGAAATCTGTAAGCACAGCTGAATAAACACCCCTGTTCAGAAAAAAAAAAAAAAGGAAACACAATTTAACATTACTCCTTTCCCTCTTTTACAGACTATCAACAGAGATCCAAAACACCTCTTTCTTTGATCCTTTGGAAGAATGTGCATCTCTGCTCTGGAAATCAGCAGTGGAGCCTTCCATGGCTTTCCCTTCTGGAAACATTCACACTACTTTCAGGGAAGCTTATTCTTTCTTGGTCTCAGCATCCAGTTTTCCCTCTTACCTGGGAATCATACCTCTTCCCAGTGCAAAAGAATTATGTGAGAGGACGCATTCCAGGTATAAATGTTCTATTTTTGCCACATTCAGTAATTTTTTTCATGTTTTAGGGGAAAAAATATAAACAAACATG